TGGAAATACATATATTTGAAAAAGACTTTCAAAGACTTATTGAAACAAATAAATCTACTGTCAGGAGGAAGTAGTTTTGGCCCTCGGGGAGAATGATTCCCTCTATATTTTCAGTGATTTACTTTCTCACCTATGGGCAACGATAAAACAAAAAAAGATTAGATATTATTATATTTATCTGAAAACAGTCATTTTGTTATTAATTGTTGTTCAGAAATGTAATGAATTAAGGTCAAAGATCAGGCAAGGAAACAATTTTTGTGAGTAAATATAAAGTGTTCCTCTGCAGTGTATGCTGTTAAAACTGAATGTGCTCATATTGGCTTGGTTTAGCTTATGAGAGGGTCTGTGATGTGATGCAGCTCACAGAATAATACATTAGTGCATTTGCAGCATTTGTAATGCTTGGAAAAGTTGTGAAGACTCAGATAGCTTTCAGTCACAGCTTCCGCCCCTGTCAGCTGGAAATACTCAATATCCTGATGGCCTCTAGGCTTCAGCGCCCCCTGATGGAGGAGTAAGTGACCCCCAGCTGACAGAAGAAGTATGTTATCCTCTTTGCAGGATAGAGATGTATTACTTTATGTCCATTTGTCACAGCAAATAGTAAAAAAAAAACACCAAAAACCACTTTTTCATTCACTACTTATCAAGTACAGGGTTAAGGTGAACCTGCAGCCAATTGTGAGTAGCATAGGGCACAAGGCAAGAGAGCGCCCCAGATCGGATGCCAGTCCATCACAGGGCACAGCACTACAGGCAAATTATATATGCTAATTTACCAAACAACCTTATGGTTTTGGGCTTCAGGAAGAAACCTGTGCAACTTGGCGAGATTAGGTGAACTCTACACTCAGAGATGGGCCAGGAATCCAGCCACAAACTCTCATGGTGTAAAACACCTGCGCTATCCACTGAGCCTTTTCATGCTGTATAACTTAAACATAACTCATCTTCCTGCTTGTCTAATAGTGCCAGATCCAAGGATTTAAAATGCTTAGGACCATAGACGCCTTCTCCAAAGTCATAGGGAGGCCACTCTCTGGTCTCTGAAAGATGCATATTCTTTAACAGCAAGACAGCGTAGATGTTGTTTGAGTTTACCGTGGGGAACCCTAACCCTGTTGGAGAACCACACAGCCAGTAGTCTGCAGCCTTGTTCTTCTAAACTGTTGAGTTAATGCATGAAGAACTACGACTTTCTGAAGAGCGCTGATGTCATGCTGAAGAACTGTAACTATAGGTTTCATTTTGGTGTCTTATGAAGCACCGACCCTGTTTTGGAGGCCCTGCTGTTTCCATGGAGAGGAGCAAATTCTACCCCCAAAGACTTTTATCCCGAAGGCACACTGGCACATGTATTAAATGATCAGGTACATTGAAAATCTTCTTAGTAAAGTATTCTCCATACAGCAACCCTTCCAAATAGATCCATTATTTTAAATGCCACATTTTAAAGAGATAGATTCAGTGTTACGGTGTTGCCAAAGCAAATCCTAGAAAACGGATAATGTTGAGGCAATAACTGTACAGAAAGGCAAGACACTCCCAAAGCCCAATTGTTATTTTTCTTCTGATGCAGTGGATCCTCCAGTACAGTGGCACACAGAGGGAGGTTTTTGTGCTCTCTGAAATGTAGGATTATAGAAAGAGACTTTGCACATTCAGGCTCCAGCGAGCAGTGACAGTATAATGCTCTGCTGGACTGCTCATTAGTGGCTATGTCTGCACCATCTGTCACTAGGCCCTTCAAATGGGAATTCCTCCGTATGCTAAAGGAAACACTGATAAATGCTTAGAAAACGCAGAACAAATAGTCAAAGACTAACCCTGCAGTACACGTACACCGCAACATCCTACATCTACAATTATCATTGTAACCGAATCGTGACTCTCAAGTAGGGTGTATCCTGCATGAAGCCCCGTGCATCAGCCTACAATGGATGAGTGCTTCTGCAAAACCAAAGGTTGGAGTTGTGACGAGATGCTTTTGATTCAAAGTAAATGTAATGCCGGAAGAGGCCCATGTGGTAATCTAGACAGGCTTGGCTACCAGCATCTAGCAAACTCCACTGCACAATTAATCTCCGTGTCGTGCCATGGCAGGGGGGTGGGATGGTGGTGGTGAAGCTAGCCGGGGGTTTGGGGGGGTTGTGCAGCCAGCAGGTTGCTAAGTCAGCGCCCTCTCTGGAGATGGTAGCCATTATTATTGTTGTTGTTGTTAATGAAGGGTAGTAGGCTGGCTACTGGCTGAGCTGTTTCATATTTCCAGGTTCGTAAAGCAAACCCTCGTGCCTTAATGAGAATGTACAGTTACAGACACATACAGGATGTGGAAAATGAATTCAAGTAGGGCGGCATGGCTCTAGGGCTGCGGATTTCAATTCAAACCTCTGGCCCGTCTGCATGTTTCTGTGCAGTCAGACTACCTGTCACCTCGAAGGTGATGGGATACTGTATGTGTCCAACAGTGGACTGACAATCTGTCTACCATATTCCCCAGCCTTACTACATGGAATAGGCTTCACAACCCTGACGATGGATGGATGGATGGATGGATGGATGAACAGCTGAATTCAAGCACTGGTAGTGACTCCAGTCTCACAGTGTGAAATGTGGCACCACTAAATGGCAACACATATCTGAAGACTCATTAAACATCCATAACATGCTCAGGTCTGTGACGGAAATGAACAATACAAGGGTAACAAGCCATTTTCTAAAAATGATATATCTTGATTGTGCATTGCATGCAATGAAGATATTTTGCCCCATTTGGATTATTTACGGGAAAGTGCTTGCAGTGTGATGTTTTTAGCCCTCCTCTGCGCGCATTTCATCAAGTCTATATAATTCCGCTCCATATCAGTTGTGCTTCAAGATGCCCTTTAAGCATTTCATGTTCCCCCCTACACAGTATACCATGCAACTGCGGTGCATTTCAATGAATCATCACAGGAGAAAGAAGACAGGCCTTATTTGTATTCTTTTATTTATTGATACAAGCCAACGCTCTGTACCTGTCCATCACTGTGAAGAACCAGGAGTACGCTGCTTCAAGTGAAATCTTGAGAGGACCCTTAACCCCCCTGAGTACATAACACACTGATTAATATATCACTAATACTTGTAAAAATAAAATTAATATTTAAGTATGGATAGGGCCAGCCAGCTATCTATGAAGCTAAGTAAAAGTTTTGTTTTTAGATGAGTCACACCAATAGGTTACTTTTGGGTTCCCACTGAGCCATAAATCCCACAGAATGCTCGCGATTCTCCTTAATGAACAAGTTCATGCCTGCAGATGGTATATCTTAGAGTGTATTTCATGTCCGAGAAGATGACCCCAGCATGGTCATTTACAGATGTGTCAGAGAAAGGGGGAACACAAAGGGGAGACTGACTAACAGCCATTCATTATGTAGACCAGGGGTGTCCAATCTTATCCGCAAAGGGCCGCTGTGTATGCGGGTTTTCGCTGCAACTCCCTAATTAGATTACTAATTAGAGGACTGATTGGCTGAAGAGTCCTCACACCTGGGTTTGAACAGCTGCCCTACAGGTTATCCCAAAAACCCGCATACACACCGGCCCTTTGCGGATAAGACTGGCCACCCCTGATATAGACCCTTCACATGTACTGTTTGCACATAATAGGTAGCAATAATAATATATAATGCTGCCTCAAAACAACAGGAAAGCCCAAGAGAAAGATGGAACTTGCATAGACAGAAGACCATAGTACTTCAGGACAATAAACTCGTTTTCACAAACAGTCAGAGCTCTACCTGGGTGGTCATAAATACCATCAAGAACCTTAGTCTATTTTTGCTGCTGCACAAAAGGAAAACAGCTACAGGCAAACACTGAGGTGAGGTTTGCAAAGCCTTCATTTAATGGCTTGCAGGCCTATTAGCTTGCGCTGATGTATAGACACAATCTACAGAATCGGTGCTTCCATAAGACCGGAATACTACTAATCTGACTCTTTCATGTGGAGTTTGGCTGATGACTGTGGAAACTTACATAAGACACTAGCCAGACCCTCGGCCATGTTTGAATCAGACTGCCAGGATTTTCCCTTTTTTCACCGGCTACACTTACTCAGTCTAATTAATTCCTCTGTTTGTGTGTGTTAGTGTGCAAGTGGGCGGAAAGTCATTTTGGTTGCAGTGTCAGGTGAAATATGCTGAAATGCAACCGTCAGTAGCATTTTTTTATTGGAAAAAGTAAAAACTGATAATAAGCCATTAGCAGGCATTTTATCATATAAATAAACTTAAAAAAAAAAACCTTCTATATTTTTAAAAAGTTCCCAAGCACAGAGAAAGAAGGTTTAATGATTTGCAATAAGAAATAACCATTACCACACTGTAATGCAAGAATCCTGGTCAAAACACGAGCGAAGTAGAGAAACCAGTCCGCAGCCGGGTGTGGTGTGGTTGGGTGTGGCTAATTGAAGGCAGGTATTATGTTCTGTCTACTTTCAGTATTATATAACGTTAAAATAATCCAGCTGGGACCATGAATTGAAATATTGTCAGTAATCGCCAATTCATTAACTGTTATTCTACTTTCTCCCCGGTGTTTTTACTCACTGCGAGTAATAATTTATGTATTTATTCAGCTGGATATTTAGCTTGAGCAATTCAGGTTTAGTACCTTGCTCAAGGGAAACACTCCAGAGCCCCTCCTGAGACTGTAACCAGCAACCTTCAGAGCCCATCTCCTTAACCAGCCAATTACAATTCTTGCCTTAAGCGGCATGCAGTTTTTTTTCTCCATTTGAAATATAATAATATGCTCCCTTTGCCTGCAGACATCTAGAGCTGAATCCTCCTGTTCTGGTCATGGCAGCTAGTAGGGGTATCTGCTGCAGGACCATCACTCCGCGGTGTGGAGCTGAGCTACAGGCTCGGCCCCTTGTCTCCTCTGAATACTTGCTGAAGGTGAGAGGCAGGCTGCGTATATGAGTAGTCATGACTGCAGAACATGCCAGACACCCTGCTATTTTCTTCAGGATTATGGGTGTGTGTGAGCGTTATCTGTCATGCACACGAGCTCCAGTACGGTTCACTAGCTTTTAAGCCTGTGCTGGAAACAGTGAGTGTAAACCATTCTGTTAGAGATCTTCATGATAACAAAGAACAAGACAGAGATTTGGTGAATGAGAATTATTATTATTATTATTATTATTATTATTATATGCATTCTTTTTTGGAACTTCATAGAATTCACATTTTGGTGTCTAGGTCAGACTGAAACATTTCAAAACACATATTCTGATGGCTGATACAGCTGAAGGTCTCTAATCTGTAGCAAAGGCACAGCAGAGAGCAAGGGCCCCTTTAAACTCAGAGACATATTTCCATTCACTGCATGAACCTTGACCTCCCCTACCTACCTGTCTCCTGTAAGACAGCTTCACAGGCTAAACCTGATGGCTGGATCGGGTTCTGGCAGAGGCTCACGTACTTCATCCTCAATGCCATCTGCTCTAATAAAGGTAGGGTTGGAAAACATGAATTTATTACTTAAATAGCTGCAACAATAAGACGTTATACTCATTTGAAGGTAAAGGCATGATATTAAAATGCTTATAATGGACACTATTTGGTGGGCTCCCCAGTCATGACCAGGGGTGCTTTAATGCTTACCTGGTCCTCAAAATTTACCCCCCTCTCCCCCAACCCCACCCTGGTTGACAAATTTTACCATTGCCAACCATCTGGTCAACAAAACAATTTCAGAAAATAGTAGGGGAACCTCTGAGAACCGTGGACCATGATAATATGTCTCTGTGTATGATGCAGATCAATTAGTAATACAGGAGAAGCCTGTCTAAAATATAAAGTGGGATAATGTCCCTGACACATGGATTTTGAGACCTAAACTGTAATTTTAAACCAGGACAACATGTTACATACAGTCATGGCTATCTGATGGCTATATATAGACCTTTTATAGACATCTTTCAACATTTTGAGGTGTGTGGATCTCTTGAACTTTAACATCTACGAGTGGTCTTCATGAATGTCTCGTGGTTTTTGATCTATCATCAGGTCTTTAGCAGAGTCACCAGAATGAGGTTAGCGTTTTATAAATACATCATTAACAAAGGTGGCTATTTTTAAATGCGATTACACTGACACGGGGATTTAAGATTATCTACAATCCTCACAGGTGAAACTCTGTCACCTTGAATTCACTTCCCATAGGGGGCAGTGTACTCAGTGTCCTTGTATGATCTGTTGCTACACTGAACGCTATTGTCTGTTCATCGGGTGAGTTCTGCTTTTCCACACTGGGCGTTTACCTCATTTGTTAGAGTGAGATCTGCTATTTCCAGCCAGTGACCAGTGCCTGCTGATGTGACGAGTGTTTGGTCTTCTGCGGTTCTATCGTGAACCTCCCTTCCGCACTGGGGCTAGACGCCAAGTGGTTCACGCCATTTTTCTCTTTCAGAAAGTTCCCCTCCTCTGGGAGTACTGGTGTCTTCCCTTTCCTGACTTGGGTTGTCCTCATGAGCATCGGTGCCCTGTTCCCAGGCTAAGATTTATGGTTATAATCCTTATAAAACAAACTGAAAATCTTCCACATAGAAGGGTTCTGTTAAACAGCACATCATGTAATTTTCTCTTCTCTGTCTTGTCATCGGCAGAGAACACAATGTATTTCAGTGTAAATAATTTGTTCTATACCCTGTTATCAAACTACAGCATTTGAGAAGCCTCTCACTGCAACCTGTAGGAAGGCGGGGTTGGACATCCAACCTGGTCCACTTATGCTGGTAAGTAAAAAACCTTTCGTCTGCATCTCACTATAATTCCAGAGCTATCTGTTATTTTGTTGGCATGATTGATAGGTTCATGAGGTGACGTCCAGTAGGATGTGTGCCAGGTCGGATGTCCAACTGCACCTTCCCACGTGTTGCAGCGAGACATACATGCAGAACTTAGCTACATAATATGTTTGAATACCAGGGAATTCATATGATTTCTGGTAGTGAGCAGAAGCCCCACCGTGGTTCCGCCAACGCAGATGATTTTATCTTGGGGCGTTTGTCTAAGTTCCTCTCTGGAGTAATGAAATATGACGGCTCCCAATACATCTAGGGGATGTATGCACACCACGGCCTTTACGTCGTGGGCTTCAGCGAGAGAGCGGCACTGCACTGCACTGCCATCCTCAAACAGACCACACTCATCTCACTCAGTGTCCAGAGTCACAGATTTCCCATTTTTTGGACATCTCCTTCAAATGGCCTCTGAGCAGAGAGATCTGTACGCTCAGACAGATTTACTGACTAGTCCTGACTTCTGGCAAGAATCTAATCTGTAACATTAACTTCATCTGTCTCTATCAGATTCATCATGTTCGAGCCACAGAATGTCCATTCATCAACCCATTTTCAGAAGGTTTGACTCAAATTTACTTCAATACAGTCATAATCAATTTATAACAAGTTAAAAATATGATCTCTGTAGTCAGTAGAGTATAGCCTATTATTTCTTTCATATCACTTTATTAATGGACCCTTTATAGCATTTAAATGTTTCAGCTTTACAACTTAAACTGTATTTAATCATTAGAATAATTCTTCATTAAAATTGCCCACCCACTACTACTGTTGTAGCCTACCAGAGGTTTTTAGCTTAATTGCCCTGGAAGCAGAAACCTTAGATTTTGCTTACATAAAGGATTAGTACTTAGAAGGCTTAAATTCAGTTTAATGCTTTAATCGAGTAATATCTAAAGATACATTTATGGCATCTGAAATTAATTGATATTCTATAGTTTGTATCAAAGTTTACACAGCAATGAACTGGCATCCCATCCATTGTGTATCTCTGCCTTATAAGTTGCTATAAGAGGGATGACTGATGTTCTACAATTTATTTTTATGAGCTTCTAAATAAAAGGGGTTTATAGAACAATGGAAACACCACATGAAACAAGCCTTTCACTTTGAGTTGACTAAATCACAATTACAAGTGCAGCCAAAGGGGTGAGTCATATTACGGTGAATGTCAATTAACAGTGTGTCAGCTGTGAAAGAGCTCTGACAATCAGTGCTTTGATATCTGACTGGTCAAAAGAAACATGAAGCAATCAAATTTCAAAGTGGCCAAACAGTTGGTGGCTGAATTGTAGGTGCATTGATCACAAGCACTGCAAAAATATGTCAAAAGGGATAGTTTCAAAATTCATGACAGCATACACCAAATGTGGACAGATATGAACAGTGGTCACGAGTTGCAGATTGCCAACAGGATTAGAAAGACATTTTACAGGATAGCACATTGCAAATATACATGCTGTCAAGAAGTCAATCAGGTAGACTGAGTTTCCAATGAATGCCCAGGTACAATTGTAAACAATGCTGGGCAGGAACTACATAACAACTCCTGACAAAGCAAGAACCTAATAAGACAACAAGGCCCAGAACATGAGAACATTCAGGGAACATCAAGACAAATTGCAGCTTAAAGGCTTCAAAAATTAAAAGATTAAAGGCTTGAAAAATTACAAGAGAACTGAATCATCACCTCATTCAGCTCATTCATTCTGTGAGATTCATACAGCTGCAATTTGTGACAAGACTTCAATTTGGAAATTTCTTATATATATCTCCAATACACAAAGATATACGTAGATGTAGTATATACTTTCTTATACATCTCCAATACACAAAGACACACAACCTTGTGTAAGGATCAAAATAATCTGGAGTCCTGAGCAATGAAAATATTATATGAATTCATTGGTCATCTTTCACCCTACATACAGAAAGCTAAATGTTCTCTAACCATCTCCTGGGAGTCCAGTGACCGCTCTGCATGGGCATACAGCAGCCAATGAATATGAGGCCGTTTTACAGGACCAGGTGCTCTCTATGTTGCAAACACTGTTCCCTCATAATTTTCCCATATGCCAAAAGGATAATGTCTCCATAGATATTGCTGAAGAAAACTGAGTGATTTCATAAAAGTCAGGGCGAAGCCAAAAGCCTTCCATGGATTCTCTAAACACCAGAACAGTCCAATACCCCTCCATGCACATTTCAGCACTTGTAGGACAACATTTGAAGGATTGAAGCTGTTCTGAAGACAGAATGTGACCATGCCCCACATAAGGCCGTTGATATTGACATATTGTGAGGTGTCTGTATCATATTTTCCCAACTCCTTTTATCATTATATAATAGTAATTTTTCATAATTAATATCAGTCCTGTCATACCAGTGCTCTGAACCTGCAGGTCAGCAAATGGATTTTGCTCTATGTTGTGAAGACACATGGATATAACAGATGTGTGTAATCTCTCAAACAACAAAGCAAGTACAGAACTGTCTTTCTCGTCATCTATGCTGAATGTGTTGTATTGCAGCAAAATGTTAATATACATTTCTTTTTCAGAAGTTTTTTGGAAGATGCCATGTTTCCCTGTTTTGTACTACAAAGACTAGTGGACTAAGGATGCAATAAAACATATGTACACAGTAAACAAAGCCAATATGTGGCTGCACACAACAGTGAGGCACAAACTGTACAGTCCATATGCCAAATGCCTCCATCTCCCACACATTTCAAAGCTAGTTTTAAATCTTCAGCCCCATAAATTGAAGCTGCATTGTACGTATATTGAACATCAGTACTGTGATATCTAATCATATAATCATGAACACATATATATGAACACATATATTTTATATATATAATATAAATGCAATAAATAAGATATAGTATGTAATATAACAATTAATGGTATTATTCATGATTTAGAGACAAGATTTAAAGACACTCTTAGTTTTCATCAACAGTGATTTGTCATTCTATTTGGTTTTCTATATTGTACTGTTTTCTATATTATTTTTCTGTATTGTACTTTTTGTATAACAATGTTTTTTCTATTTTCAGGTATTTATTAAAAACTATTAATTATGTAAAATATTATAGGAAAACCACAAAGTGTGCTCAGACTTTTGATAAATAGCATTGTTTGAGGCACCTGGGCTGAATATTTTAATACCATAAAACATATTGCAGTGACTCTGGTAGCCCAGTTGTGCTGCCTGATCCTGTTGGCGATGCTGTTAGGGTCACTGGCTTCAGCATGAAAGACTCAAACATCAGTCATGGCAAGCGGCTACCCCCTGCGGCATCAGCACAGTGCATGAATATAAAAACATTCACACTCAGCCACACCCGACTAATTTCGCTGTTCAGTAAATGGCTAGAATTGAGTCGACTTGGAAAAACTTGGGATGATTGGCCCAATTCTCTTCCAGGTTTCAGTGAGCAACTAATTTCAGACTTATTAAGCAAAATTTGACAAGAATTGTGTGATTAATAGATTAGTCCTCGTGATCAAGAACATTTCACCTAAAATTTATGAAACAGGTCGGTGTCTGTCAAACAACTAGGCATTTACATGCTAATGTACTTTTAAAGAATTGCTCAAAACAGACAAAATGCTGTAAACCAGTCTCTTGCATACTCTTTAATAATGAAATTTAAAAAATTGATATGATTTATTAAATAAATTATATGTATATTGACTATTTTCAAATGATAAATGTGTCCTCTTAATATTTTAAGGATTTACTACGGAAAGCTTCGTCAGTGATGATGATTTGAAGAAAAACACTCATGAATGGTACATATTCTGCATAATTAATAAGACGGACATGGCCTCACGTCCCATTCTGTGAAATTTCCAGTGCATAAGCTATAACTGGCACAGCTATGTTACAGCGTACATTAACGCACTACGCTACTGGCAAAATACCTAGGAGCGATTGGCAACGTTTGAAGTCACGCTTGATTTGCAGAGCCGCTGACGTCAGCCGACGGGCACAGTTGATTTACGCATGCGCATCGGACTTCCATGGATTTTTTTTCGGGCAGCGTGCGCCTACCTGAAGCGCGATAGGAAACTGCGGTCCCAGAGCTCTCCCTCGGCGCTGCGCTCCGCCATCTTGGCTCCATTGACTCCATTGTTTAAAGCGCTAATTCGGGCATTTCGGCGCAAGCGACGAAGCCACTATGGCGTTGATTTGAGCCAGTTTCATAACCTTGGGAGGGAGGAGTCTGGCGTGTTTGAGAGCCGGGGCAGCGATGTGACGGAGAAAAGGAGGAAAACTAGAGCAACTGCGAACTGAAGAGGAAATCGTTACGGTGGTCGATTTTCCCCCAAGCGTAGTACCTGGATGTACGTGGGAGCGGGGAAATGGGTGCCTTTTAAACAGAGAGCAAGCAAACGAATTATTTGTAGCCCTTCTTCACGTTTAGGGCACAGCATATGGGTGTTCAGTTTTGTCGGTTAGTGGATTGCCAACTAAGAAAGAAGGGATGTGGTCTGAGCGATAATATTTTTCCCAGTAATTGTCGATAGCTATCCCAGCCATCTCGCTTGCAGTATAGCAAACGGAGGGAGTATTCCGGGCGTTCCTGCGAAGAGAGACATCGATCTGACGCCAAAAGCGGGGTGAATATTAAAAAAATAAATTAAACCTCAGTTTGTCGCCTTCGACAGGAGGGTTACACATCTGAAAGACGGGAAGGTGGGGTCGGTGAGAGGAGGAGGAACTGGCTAAATCATCACCTGGCGACGTGCGGGGGGAATCGAAAGGAGTCTTTTGGGATCTGGGCAGCGTACAAGGCGACCCGTTTGGCTGCATTATCATATAAACACTCACGAACGGGACTGTTTCCCCCCACCCTTTTTGAGACTTTTTTGGAGGATAATTCGCCACCCGTTCTTGTTGGACCATGGCCGACGACGACGTCCTCTTTGAAGATGTGTACGAGCTCTGCGAGGTGATCGGAAAGTAAGTGGCTCGCGGACGGGGCGGCGATGCGGGCCGTCCGGCACCGGCGCGGGCGTCAAGTTCCTGCAGCCGCGTCTCTGTTGTCGCCTTGTTATGGCGAGCCCATGGGTGCCGGCATGTTTTTTTTTTAAATACCCGTTGGACTGCGTGGAGAAGTAAATAAGAATTACTCTGTCAGACGTCGTAATCCCGGTGCGCAGCTAAAGACCTCCGGGGATTAACGTGCAGAGGCACCAGAAGAGTGCCGATAATGCTAGTAGCACTCGTGTAATTCTTTTGCTAGTATTTCCCCTTTAATCGAGTAATAAAATGGTGAAGCATACAGGCACAGCGTCTGGCAGCATGTGTTTTCCCCATATCCGACGTAGGCGGACCTTTCCCTGGAAAGCGCACCGCACCTGTGCTTTTTAACTTAAAAAACCCCGAAAAACATCATTACGACGGCGGCACAAAGAGTCATAATTTCCCGTCTGTCATAAGTGGGAACCTCTAAGCCTGCGTTCTGGGAATTTAATTAAAATGAATTTTATTGAATTAACGGTGTCTGCTGACAAGCTGTTAGCGGAAACCGGTAGTTTTTATGTTGTCTGCAGTCGGTTTTTAATCACTGCTGGGAAATTCAGTAACATTTTTGTTACGTTATGTGCCCTCCACAAAACCCGCATCGTTTTCTGATTTATTTTGTGCTGGTGATGTGTATGATTGAAATTCTGGTGCTGTACTGGTTATAAGGAAGCAGACTGACCCGAAGGTAGTATACATAGTGGGAGTTATGCATGGAAGCCCGCTGTTTTCGGCTTTGACTGAGTTGCGTTTGAGCACTGGAGTCACGCTGGCACTTCTGGGCTTGGGTTACCCCTTTGACTGACGTAGGCGTCTTCGTGGGGGTCATGGTTCTACATCTGGAAGAAACGCATTCTTCTAGCCACGAGTAGACTTTGATCTCGATATTAAGGCCTTTAATTTGGTACAGGAGCTTCAGACGTCTTAGCCTGGAGCCTGCCTGCTTACAGTCATGAATAAATCAGATTTTGCTCTCCTTGCATTTTTGGAAAGGTTGGGTAAATGGCTTCCAATTTGATTATACGGGATTATATATGGTGACAGGTGCTGTATTACCGGTTTTCTGCCTTATGAAAGCTTGGTGCTTTCCCTGTTTTGGCTGTCCTGGAATGTGTGTGAATGTTTGGAGCTTCCTTGCGTGCATTTACAACAAGATTATTTCTGCGGGCGTTCCATAAAATAGTATAAGCCCTTGTCTGAACCAGAGGTGTTCTGAACCTGAAAAGCTGCTCCTTACCTGGAAATATGCGGATAGGGGTGTTCAATGTCTGTGTGTTTGGGTCTTCGCTCTTGGGGTCTGTAATGCTCACCTGTAATAGCTTTCTTTTTAATGTAGGTTCTGCATATATCCTGACAGAATGGTGACTTAGGGGGAACCATTGGTGTCTCTCACCTACAGGGTTGGAGGATTGAATCCCACCTCTTTGTGTGTTTGCCTGTCCTCTGTGTTGCATGGGACTCCTCTCTACATAAAATTTTCTGTGGAGTGTGTGTATGTCCCCTATGATGGCTTTTCATCCAGGATGTGCCCCATCTCTGTACTGTCTGAGATAGTCTGAAGCCGCCCCCCCCATCCACACACACACACACACACACACACACACACACACACACACAAACAACATTTAGAAGATGGATATGTTGAAACCTAAGCTGACCGTAGTATCGGTGGAATAAATACAGTGGCACTGAGCTTGAAAATAGTGATAATTCTCTGAAACGCTTTGTTGTTTTTGCCTGTGTGCTTTGACAGTTTGTTCTTTTTTTGATTAATGGGATGGAGTATCTCTTCAAGCAGTGAAGAAATGCAGGCTGTGCCATTGGTGCCGCTGTCTGCTCTGGGTTCACTTTCATTATCGGACCGCTGTCCTCTTTGGATCCCTATGGTTGTGTCGTGTTGTTTTGTTATGGGCAGTGTTCCCTTGCATCCCAGTGCAATATCCACACTAAATGCACCCCAGAGGTCCTGTGTCTGCACCTCCCAGTGTGGCTGTGTAAAGGACTACCTTGTAGTTGAGTCTACAGCTGGTCCCATCTCCAAGTTTTCCTTTGGAAGCTTGGTCCCTCAAGAAGAGCTTGTGATGTCTGTACTGCAAAGCTATAAGAGCTGCAGGCAGTTTCTCGTTTTGTTAATAGATATTCCTTTGTGTGTAGTTAAATGTGCTGACATGAACACCAACAACTAAACAATAGCTTTTAAATGTGAGTCAATGCTTATTTGCTGCTGTTTTTGCAGGTTATGCAAACTATTACTATACAGCCCAAGACTAAATCTGTTTTAATGTTATAAACTATTATAAAACTTTTTAACATGGCTGCTGTGTGATTTCTCAGTCCTATTGGTTAACTGGATCTGGTATCACTGATGATTGCAAATGGGAGACCATCTTCTCAATAGTGATTGAACAGTCTTGGTTGTTTGATGCATGACTGCTGGACTTCTATGGATTTTTTCCCCCAGACAGTGAGACTGATCCTAAGTGTTTTTCTTTTTTTCTGTGTGAAGCTCATCATGAATTGGAAATAATTTTTTTTCTGACTCTGTGACCTTTTTGTGTTTGAGTGATAAAATGGTTTATAAAAAATCACAAAATGAGTCCTTTCATGAAACATTTAATATTTAAGACTTCATATAAAGAATTATTTTTGCGTAATTTATTTTAAAGCAGCAGACAAGGTAAATGTGAAAATGTTCTATCCTCAGTTCTTGCCATATTTTCCAAAAGCAAAGCATTCACTCAATTATGGTAAATAAGCTAAATCTAGACACATTTTGAAAGTGTGAATCCAGGTGGCTGTTAGACGGCTCTGTAAATTGTCTGATTGAAATCAGTGAAAGTTTTAAATAATTGATATGATGCAAGGCTTAGATTATTCCACATTGGTAATGATTTCCATGCTGGTTTGAGTGCATGATAAAATTATCTTAAAAGTACCTTGATATTACACACTGATATTCACGGCTGTTAATCTAAAAATGTATCTGCTTTTTCATTGCATGAGTGCCTTGTGAACATGTTTAGCGGCATTTATGGCTAGCATGGTAGTGCCTGTAAGTGCCGTACTGTGTCTTGGGAAAGAAACTGCCAAATGGAAATGCTCAGCTGTATTATTTTATGTTGTACATTTTATATCGAAAGTCTGTGATTTAAATCTTTAAAAGCATCCATTTAGCCTCTGCTGAGGTACTGAATTGGTTGATTACGATCTTGAATTTTGTGAATGCGTTGACGGTGTGTGTTTAAATGTCTGTGCCGTAACCTGGTTGCAGTAATGTGCGTTTAATAAATATGTAATTGCTGTGATGTCGTTCTTCCATGATGGGAGGAATCTTGTTTCGCTGTAGCAGAATGGCTTTTGAAAATGCTGAGCAGATGTTACTCATTAATGGATATCGTTAGTTTTATGTGAATGCCTTCAATGGGATCCTGATATTGATTTAATGTGACGTGTGAATGGGGGTCGTTTATCAGTGGGGAGGGCGTATGGAACCTGATAATGAAGAGGGGCCGGACTCTCGGTGCTCGGCCCTGGCAGCTTACTGATGTCGATAGCAGATAGGCTGTGACTTTCAACAACAGGGTTTGAGGTGGCAGACTTGTTCTGTGGGGCGGCTGCAGGAGGTGCCCTGCCCAGTTCCCCAGGGCCGGGTTATTCACTTGGAGCCCATTCAGATGTTGTGAGCTGTGGTCCAGAACTACACCTGAAGAACAGCCTACTGAGGCTGTAGCGCATCGGTGAGCATCTGTAAAGAATAACGAGGATAAACGTGAGCCAGCCTCCAGCCTGGTATGTGATTGAGTTTTACTCGTATGGTTCTCTGGCTGAGATATTTGTCCTGTGACTGTAATGGTTATAATGTGGCTGTTGATAATAGATTGTGATACATGTGCTGAAAGATATTTTTGCTTCTGCAGTATGGTGTTGCTTTTATGGCGAAGTGCTTGCATTTAACAGTCTGCCATGTGTCCAGCTGAGCATGTGGTATGAACCTTTAATGGTCTGCCTTTTATCTGGGGCATGCCGCTGCTCTGGCGAAAGGCTGCGGCCAGCCAAAACGTGCTGAGCTTTTTTTTTAGTGTGTGGGTGCCTGTGCTAAAGCCATTATAGGAATAATTAGCTTTTATGTTTGTGGGAATGTGTGTATTGAAACTACTCATTCCAGATGAGAGGCTGTGAATGTTGCATGAAAACGTTGTTGGGTGTAGTTGGGTGTTACAAAGGACTCTTTGTTGTTGACTTCGGGAATGTAGCCCCCCCCCCCTCCACCCCCGCAAGCTCAAAATAAGATTTACAACTTCCTTTAGTGGAAGCCGTTACCTTTTTTGCAAGTTTTAAAATTGTCAAAATTTTGCGACTAAATGTCAGTATGACAGTTGATTTGATTAACCGAAAATACTCTGTCCATCAAAAGAGATCGGACCCACTTAAGTTGACCTTGGTGTGCATTCAGCACCCTGCCTATGTGTACTTGATTCTCACTGCCTGAGACCATGCAGTACAGCAGTTCTGATTTGAGGTATGAAGGTAAAGATCACAGCTGATTTCCCACAGTCCATTGTGCGCTCACTCTGTACCCTTGTTGATGGGCAGTGATGCTTACAGCAGTGGGCGATGCTGCTGTAGCCATTTTTGATCATGTGATTTAAACTGCGGCCTGCACTGCCTGGGATAGGGTCCAGTCGCCCCTGTGATCATGACCAGGATAAGCTATTAGAGGACGGATGAATAGATTTACCTAACCTTCTGTGCCAAAGGAAACTTGTAATATTGTAATCATGTGTATTTCAGGCGGTGAAAATGTTCTTCAACATACAATATAGAAAAGTTTACTAAATTACAACTCTAAGCTTTGTTTGACCTCAACAGTAATTCTTTTAACTTTTAAATGATTGTGTTTGATGTTCCTCTCAGGTGAGTTGGTGCAGGAGCTTTTGGATGCATGTGCCTGATTGTAAGCTAGGAAGGGAGGTTGTCTTGAGTTTCCAATCATTCAGTGCTCTGAAGTTTAAATTAAATTAAGGGATTATTTATGCGTTTATTCACTATAGGTACAGGTAGACTTCCCTCCAAAGCACTTTAGTCATTTTTTGACTGGGAATACCAATAGTTATAATATGGTAATTGTCTCTCCCAACAGGCAAAACATTTGGCATTTCATACGTTTTTGAAGGGCAGTCTTTATATACAGATGCTGTGAAGAGGAGTTCGCATGTCAGATCTGCAGATAAAATCTTTTCAGTTTCCTCAGTTACCCTTGACGCTATTTACAAAGCAGGCTGTATTTAAGTGGTTCTGAAATGCATTGTTGCATCATTTTGTTTCTGACTTTTTTTTTCTTGAACTTCTTTTCTCCCTAGAAGCCTGAGGTGTTTTCTCTCGTGTCGGTTCTTCTGCCGAAAAGACCGTCCGCAAAATTGTCACGCTATGTGACAGTGCCTTATAATGTACCCGCTCCCAAAAAAATGCATCTCACATTCGCGTACAGCTCTAACCGCTGTGGAGAGTCTCTGCGTTCTTTTGTTATCATTCAAAAAGGAGCAAAATCCTGAAATTGTTACAGAGCTAATTGGCCCCATAGCTCCTGGCACCCCGAGACCAGACATTCAGAGTCTGCCCTAATGCTTTGAGATTTCTCACCATGAAACAGAGATGACAAGAGAAGGATAAGCTATGAATTCACGCGAGCTTGTGAACGGCTATGAACAATTCCCACAAGCGCCTCTTTATTCATCTAGACTCGCATTTGCTTTAGAGCAGTTGGGGTAATAGTTGATGTAGGAGGAAGAATTGTGTTAGCATGTTAGCTCTCCACAGAACATTCTCTGTGGATGTTCTATCCATGGTCCTCCAGGGATTTGTCATGCCCTGGCACTGCCCCTGGACCTCTGACCCTGGCACTGCCCAGCCCACGACACACTGTTTCCATTCTGCAAGTGACAAGGATATAGAATACAGACAAACAGTATCTCATCTTTGGCATGTCTACACTGTCTCTTGCTTCCTTAGGTGACGCTTATTTAGAATAACTTAACACTTTTTAAAGTTGTATCCTTGCTGAATGTTTACTACAGTCCCGGATCCTGTCTCAGGGCTTGAGTCACCAGTCGTCTGGTAACAAATGCCAGTTTTTAGTTAGCAACTTGACGTAGGGTGAGGGAAGTGTTAGAAAGCTCAAAAACCTGAAGACTAGATCAATGGCGTTCAATTAAAAGAGGGCATCAGAGGGAGAAGAAACCAAGAATAATGTCTTTGAAATTCAAGGCAGGTTGAGCTTATTTATATGGCACATTTCCATTCAAAGTGCTTTACATATATAACTGCAAGTAATAAGAATCACTAAGTGGAAAAATTAAAAAGTAAAAGGGAAAGACAATATAATAAAAATCACTAATAATAATTACGCAGCATTGTTAATCAAAGGCACTAAATACCTATATGATGTGTGATACAGGGACTCCCTGTAGTAGGCAGACTATCAGTGGAAATATTTCAAAAGAGTATTCAGCATTGTCTCTTGGTGTAGTATGTGTGCTGCAACATTTTTGTTCTGCTGTTCGACAACTATTGCCAAATCAAAGCGGAAAGCCCATTGATGATGAGATGAAGAGGACAGCGTGGGTTTGCGCTGACATTCCCTTGGATAAATGGGGAAAAAAGAGCCTTTTCTTTGTACAATATTAACAAGGCCCGTGTTTAGACTCTATGCACACCCCAACTGTTAAATCAGCATTTAAATAAAATAGCACTTTTTGATTTGCCCTGTCTCTCTGCTCTGCTTGGTCAGCTGCCCCAGCTATGAAACTAACCTACAATTTAAATATCCTGCCTGCAAAAATATGCAAGAGCTTTCAGTATATTCTTGTGGACAGTGTCGACAAAACAATTATTAAACATTAGGCGACGTCATCGTTGTGGGTTCTAATAATGGAGTAGCCACGGTAGTACTGGAAAAAAAATACTATATCAAGGGAAATTGTGTATAAAATGAAATCATTGTTATGGAAGTTTTGTACCTGATTGTTGGCAAAATGTATTGATTCCATTTGGATGACTGTGATGTGTTAATTCAGAAGCTAAAAATCCCATTATCTTGTGTACCTCTTGTTTTCTAATCTGGGTGGGGGAATTTTTTTCAATACTTTTTTCAATACAGGGACTTGAGTGTTGATCTGTTTTTTTTTTTTTGTTAGTCTTGGTCTCTGTTGGTTGTAAAACTGAGACTTCAGGGTTATTCATCCAAAAAAAGATGCAGCGTAATCTCTGCTCAACATTGCCGTTATGTACCTCTTTCAAATATTTGCAATGCTCTATTCCTCAGATAAAGATAAGCTGTGTTTACTACTGGGATTGTGGTGCCAAGATGTTATATGGCAGGCAGATTTAGTATTAAGGATGCATCATTTACGAAAAATTTATGAAAATTAAAAAAATAATAATACTCTGAAGTCCCCTTGCATATTTTAATTTATTATTATTATTAGTAGTAGTAGTAGTAGTAGTATTAGAAGTAGTATTAGTAGTAGTAGTAGTATTTATTTATGTTGTAACACTGTACGGAAGGCACTATTTGCTTTTTAAATTTTAATCACAACAAATGTCTGGAAACTGTAGGTCATTTTGGCAGAAAAAAAATGTGTTTTTACAGTTTAAGTTGCAGAATTGGTTTTTCCTGTTCAAACAAACCATTATTACTTAGGTAGTGCTACTCACGTGTAAGTTGCTAAAACTTGTCCCAAATGTCTCCCTCTTTGTGCTTTAGGGATCCATTCGTACTGCTTTCTCCACACCAGCTGCCCTCATTCTTCAGGATAATCAGTGAAGCTGTCAGCTCCAACCTGACCATCACTTACTTGTGAAGCTTTAAATGCTGGGCTTCCCCCCCGTCCCCCATCCTGGGTTGTGGGTGTCACTGCCTCCAGCCTTTAACAGAATGTTTGATTATGGCCCTTTTGGCTGCGTGCTGTGAATGTGTCCATAGGGGCTCCTGTCTGCCCTCGTCACGTTTCCCCTTGGTCTCTAGGCTTGATCTGGCTTCCCGCGCTCTGGAAGATGGGTGCTATCGGAGGGCACGGCTGCATGCTGCAGAATGCTGTAAAATTGGAGGCGAAGTTGTGCTTTTATTTTTGGCCCCATCCTGTCACCCCTTCATATTGTGCAATGACGGGAACACCCCTCCCCCCTCCCCCAATTCGGTTTCTGTTTCCATTGGCTTTGCTGGTTGTCTGTGTCTCTTTTGTGCTGACTTACATCGTGACCCTTACCAGAAGACGGATGGATGGACTTGTTTATACTTGCTTGTAAATTGAATCAGGTGTTGAAGGATAGAAGCAGGTGCTTTTCCAGTCTTGGCAGAAGCACTGTTTTCTATATTTGTGTGTTTCTCCATCTTGAAATGCTCACTTTACTTTATTTACCTGGTCAGATTGACTCTGTTTTCCTGTCCCTGTGGGAGATTCTGACACAGGAGCAGAACGATGCCTCAGCAACCGTGGAATTTGTATTATTTTGAGAAGGGGTAATACTGGCATCCCTTATTTAAATGCATATTTTTCCTCTTGATTTCATTAGGCATGAAGTGTATCTGAAGGCAGAGAGGCTGACATAGCGTTTGCTTTGCCGGGGCCCTAAGCTCATTCTGCTTATTCCAATGGTAGCAGAATAAGCGGCATGTTGCTATACTGTGTGACTGTCCCACAGCACTGACTCGCCGGTTCCCACGTTTAATCCTCTGTGGAGTTCATCCTCCGCCCTTCTGCCTGGCCTCTGAACTGTAGTCTTCACTGGTGAACTCCATCTGGAAGCACACGGACAACCCCACTGCAGATGTAAGCTGCCGTTCGTACATGCTTTTCTGTAACGTAATAGCAGCCCTACAGTTAGAGCTGCTAAAAGATGTAATTATATCCAGTTTAGGAGTCCCACGTGTGCAGGGCCTCTGATGACCATATCAGTGTTACAGTCCAAAGCTGCTCTACTTAAAACCTTTTATAGCGTCGAGCTTGTCTGTGCTGCAGCCTGTGTGTTGTGGTCCGGTTTGTTTTGGGGGTGATAGTTTATATTGCCTGTAAATCCCCCTCGTGATCGGTGAAGGTGCTGCCAGGCATCTGCGTTTGGACAGGCTTGCGGACCGGGGCCTTTTTAGGGGATGTTGTCAGGGTAACCTCATTGGGGTTTGGTGACACCCCGGCCTGAGTATCTGTTAGGGCGTGTCGGACGTAACGGTCCTCGGAGAAGCTGGGGGTGTCCGAGTCTCCCCTGTGCCTCACCTGAAGAACCTGCTATTTGTTTGGCCGGCTTTAACTCCAGGACTCCTGTGTAACCAGGAGAATAATTGTTTAATGATGATAAATTCACCAGACACCGTAAGTGTTTTTAATGGCTTGTGTTATTCCGTGGGCTGTTCGTGGCCACATCCTTCTTAGCCCGTGTTCACTTCCTATGCATTTAGCCTAATGTTATGTCCACATTTACACTCGCTGTGTAATTTTCTTTCCAAATCTATGAGATGACTGTATAACTAGAGCAGGGAGCATATTGAGGACTGCATGTGTGAGGTGACCAGGCGGAGTAAAAATGTAACCAAAGTGCCCCCTCCCTCTGTGCGGATCACCTTTGTTACTGCGCGGTGTGTGCAGTGCTGAAATCGTAAGCCGCCCCCATTGATCCGGGCCCTCCATTGTGCGGCCTGCACTGGGGCCAGACTCCTTTCTCAGCCAGTGACATTTATTACCTCCAGCTGGAGCATATTGTTGCAAATGAACCCCCCTTTTTTTTTTTAGTCCGAGTCTATTGGCTGTAATTTAAAAGAGATGGATTGTGAGTTGATGAGTACTACAGTAATATGTTAGTAATTTATCAGGGGCTTATGTTCCTGGCAGGCTTGGGGGTAATGAAAGTACCTCCTCATAGCAAAAGAAGACATCTTCCAGATGGAGGATATTGTTTTACCTTAATTAGAATTAGCGTTCATGCTTTTTTTATGTGCACTTCTCTGCCGTTGGAGGTGGATCAGCCACGATCACCTCATACCTAAGATTGTCTGTGACAGCTTTGCTGGAGTAAGCCTACCCAACATGCCGCTATGTGCCGTGGCGTGTGATTGGCCCTGTGTGCCGTGGCGTGTGATTGGCCCTGTGTGCCGTGGCGTGTGATTGGCCCTGTGCTGCCGGGTGGCACACTGCCTACGGTTCTGCACCCCGTAAAACATGCACTCACCTGTGCCGGATCCATCCGCCCTACTGATGTCCCAGCAGAGCTGCACAATAAACATGTCATGATACTAAAATCATGACCTCAATACGGGTATCGCCTTAAAGTATCATGATACCAGTACCAACGCAGAAAAAAAGTTAATTTACCAGTTATTCATGGTAAATTATGCACTTGCGTTACTGAAATTAAAACACTCATTATTCCGAAATACTTATAATGACTGAGGATCATTAAGAACTGTGGACCATAATCGCAAGATTAAACAGAAAATATATAGTCGACCATAACATGCATAGTAGTACAACTTTGTCCACCATTCACTTTACACTTCTGGCCGTCTTACTATAACGGCCATTCTGCTTGTCAGTTCTGGGCAATTTTTTGCCCAAATTAAGGTTTTTTTGTCAAGAAAACAGGTGTCCATATGTTTTTTTTATGTTTCTTGAGCAGATGAATGGAAGAAACTGCTGTAACTTTTATGGGCTGTTATCTCATGTCTATTTGCTGCGAGTATTTTTGACATTATTTTTTATGGTGGAGAATAATTGTGATGAGTGTGATTGTGGCTGTAATATGTTTTACGGTTTTGGTGCGTCTGTCTTTTTTTTTTTTTTTTTTGTAATAGTGTAATTAGTACCAATACTAAAGAAATGTAATACTAAACAGCTTTCAAAAACGCGGTACCTTTTCAGTATCAGTGTCCTGTGCCACACTACTGCAGAATGGACTTCAGTGATGCATCCGTTTTGAGCTGAGTGGGCCGTGATACAAATGGACGTAATCGCATGGGATTGTCGTCTTTCGCAGTGGTGCCCCCCCCGCCCCCTCGTCATCCATATGCCCTTTTTCGCTCAGCGCTTCTTTGCGTGCCTTCTGGCGCTCTCTCCTGCAAAGCCACCTTGCTGCTTTGAGCTCAGAAGGAATTCTCCAGCGTTTGTCAGATGCGTCTCGCTTGCCTTCTGAAGGTCCGCTTCTATAATTATTGGAAATTTCCCAATCACATACAAAACATACCATTCCGGTTTGAGTTTTCTGGTTGGGCCGAAGTCTTTAAATAAAGAATTAAGTATCTCTTTTTCTTCCTCCTTTCTTGAACCTGGAACCAAAGCCTGGCCTCATGCCGGCTGCAAAAGGCAATGACAGCACCCAGGGGAGATTCCTGAAAGCTCGGTCCTTTCTGAGGCCTCGTCGGTTTTGACAGCTCTCTGCTCACCCCCATACATGCTAGAGGAGCTCTCTGGCTTCTGGCAATCTGCTGTCAGCTGTCAGCCTGGCTGGACCCTGCTGTGACCTCCTCAGTGTGACATCAGTCAGGCTGCGGAGATGAAGCGCAGGCATTGTTCACTCTTCTGGTTCTTGGGATGGCTTCTGTTGGAGTGCAAGTCAAACCGCACATGTGGAGATGTCTTAAAATATGACATTTGTTCAGGGTAGCATGTGTCTACTAAATTACTGGGTAACTCCCTTGGGTTTGAGAGGTTGTACTACACTGAGTAGGTGTGATGTTGGTCGTCAGACAGTGTAGGCGGCAGAGCAATGATACGGATTTGTTACTATTGGATGCTGTTCCTTCTTTATGCGATGAGGTTTGGGGCAGTTGTGCAGCTCTAACTGGCTGCTGCTTCCTGCATGGGCAAGAAGTCGCACTGTGTTCCCCCCTCCCCTCTCCCCCCACCCCATTTCTCCTCCTCCGACACAAAGGATGATTTGTCGGGCCTCTCAGGGTGCCGTGTACTACGACTGTCCTCACTGGATGAACCACACCATTTGTGTCTATGGAGCTCTTCATTAGATTGGCTGCACTCTGAAGGCTCTCAAATGCTGAAGGGTCTCTGCTCTGAAAGCACTCAGTATGAATGCGGGTCTGTCAAGCAGAACACCCCACCTTCTGGCCGATAGCGTTCTGAAGAAGGGCAGCAGTAGACTTAATGTTCTCCCTAAATATGTAAACAAAGAGCAGCTACTCAGGATTCCTTTCATAAATCCCTTTAATGTCCGTATTCTGTTCAGAGGCTCATACGCCACTGTTTGGTTGGGAGCTGGGGAGGAACCCAGTGGCAAGCCTCTTTCACTGTACGCCCATGTCCATAAGAGCCGTCTGCATGGCCGAGCTCATGCACTTTGATATGCATCATTCGGCCTGAACTGCCGTCTCCTGGCATGTAAGATATAGTGAGCAGGAGCTGATTGTACAGCTGATGTATGCAAAGGGTGATTTGGAGGAATCTAATAGCGAGTCAAATGGGTTAAATAACTATTAGTGTTCCTACCATGTTCATGTGGAAGCATTGCTATTAAATATTAGTATAAGTCAATGGAGAACAATGGCTTTAATGGTTTGGGAGTGGAATGTCACTTCATTTTATGTGGAGTCTGAGGAGAACTAAGATTACTGGTGGGGAGGGGGGGGAGGGCAGGTTGATAAATTAGGTGACACGAAACAGTTCTCACCTGAGAGATGAGTTTGTTTGTCTAATTGAAACTCAAAGCCGGCCTAGAAAATGCCTGTTTTCTTTCAAGTGTCTCTTCTGGTATTATAGGTTTAATTTGCACTTATGAGGATTTTAATCAAGTTGTTTGTGGGTTTTGGACTGGAATGGGACCTGTGTGTTGTCAAACCGCGGGCAGGATTAAGAAACACTTGTGACAAGTTGACAGTGCATGGGAGCCCCACCCCCGCAGTGCTGGATTTTTCTAAGGAATATTATTCTTTCTGGCATCTTTATTCTCCACACGATGATCTTAAGATGCCCATCGTTCACCACACAGTAAAAGCAACTAAAAGATTAACGCATAGGGAATGACTCTGAATTTCAATCAGTATGTCAGTGCTTCTGCATTTTACACTCAAATTCTGTTTCTCACCAACTTTCTCCTGTCGTACTCAAGCTGGTTTTAAGGTGATAATGCTGGATGCTGGATGCTCATGGCGCTTGGTCACTGATCTAGCCTAGTTAGGACATGGTTGTACTGCCAGTGCATATCCTAGCACAGCGTGGAAAAAACTGTGTCCCGCAGTGCATTTCTCTGTTTGACCGAACCATGTGAAGACAGAGTTCAACTCTTCTTGTAATGTAATGTCAGAAATGACTCTGAAGTTGGTCTTTTCCCTGGTGATTCTTGGATTGCAGCAGGACTGATATCTTCACATATGGTCCCACATTGCTATAGTTTGCCAGTTTGATGGTGATGGTGAACCAAACCTTCATGTTACATCATGTTCTGATTTGACAGTGGTGGTTGTGGTCTGGGAAGCTGGTCTGTTTTTTTTTTTTTTTTTTTATGTCTAATCCATATTCATCACACATACTGGTACTTGGTAACCAAATATTGTTGATTTGAAATGTTTTTTTTTTTTTTGTTTTAAAAATGAGCTTGGCTGTATTTGTGTTAAACACCAGTTACACAAATCACTGATTTTGTTCTGCTATCGTCGTTTTGAGTGTGAGAGCCTTCCAACAAAAGGGCTGTTTGGTTCTTGATAAAGTACAGACAGCAGTCTCACGTGGGTTGACATTGCGTGTCTATATGAGGAAGTGTAAAAGCAATTGTTTGGATTATATTGGTGAGTGCATCATCTCTTTACCTGGTGTATGT